ACTCACTTCCATGCCAGCATTCTCTGAAGATGCCAGCCACAGATGTTGACAAAAACGTCAGGAATAAAATCTTCTAGAACACAGCCACATAGCCTGAAAAACCCACAAAAAAATATAGATGCCGACCATGAAAGCTTTCAGCTTCATATTGGGGCATTGTTTGAGTGAGCCTGTCATGGACAAAAGAAATGTAAATATACATTCCCATTGTTGTTATTCTTGGAAGAAGCATAACATTGAAACATCACAGCCTATCATGTGGCAGTCCACTGAGTGCCACAGACTGCAAGGGATGGATGAGAATTTAATTTAATTTTGTTTAGGGTCAAAATTTATGAAAATTTGAGTAAAAGAGAAAGTGTTGTTGATTTTCCGTAAACTATGCATTCACACAAATGTATGTGGCACAGCACTGCACATCTTAAACAAGAAATCAGTTTTGGATCTGGTATCCCATGTTATGAAAATGGGAACCAGTATAACAAGCACAGGTTCCCAGACTGAGTTGGGATGTTCTTTTGCTGGATTAAAACTCCTATGTGTTGAAAAAAGCAATGGTTACAAAGGTGTTACAAACAGAACCGGTTTGCCTATTTTCTATTCAATTCAGAGCTTGTAAAACTGAATTTCCAACCAGAGAAATATTTTCTCATTTGTAGATTCTGCCAAAATCATATTTTTAGTCCTCACTAGGGCAGAGCCATTTAATCAAATTGATTTAGCTATGTGTTGACTTAATTTGATTTAGGTATGTATTGAATTAATTCTGCAATTAATTCAGTGGATACCCTCTAGTTGGGACTAATCAACAGGTCTCTAGTCTTTGGGGTTTTATTTTTTGAATGACCTCTTCTGAACAACCATGGTTGAAGCTAAACATCACCAGGTCCTACATCTAGCTCTCAGCTTTGGGCCCCAAAAGCTCAGCACTGGGATACATCTAGGTTTGTCAGTTCAGGCTCATTCCCGACCTTAGGTCCATGGGCAAAAACCAGGAATCTAGAGATGGCCCCTGGAAATGGTGTTAAGTGACATCACGTTTGCTCATAGCTTATCATTTAAGTATATATATACACAGAGAGAATAGGGAGACATTTTAGAAATAAAAACAGAAGTCTTAACTAATGGGTTTTTCCCCAGATCAAGTTGAAATGAGGTGATTACTCTTCCTCATCCACTCATCACTTGCTTCTAGCCAGAAGGTGGAGGCAGAGTAGCATAGAGGGTGAGCCCTGGTACACAATGACTGGGAGGGAAGGAAAAAGTTAGCTAAGTAAACACACTGAACTACCCCACCCCTGAGGGTCTATGCAAGTTGCAACAACAAATGAATTGAGGCTTGCAAGTTGGAAACAAGCTGCTGCTCCACTAGCTAAGCTGGAGATTTGCACATAGACCTTTTCTCTTACTTTGACATGAACCCATCAAAATTAGAGAATTTCTACCATCATCTCCCATCCAAAAATGACCCCTGAAAACTGGAAAGTCAGGGCCTAGCCCTGAGATCTGGCAACCTTAGATGCATCTGACAGGGCAATTCTGTCCTTTGGTTCTGAATTTGCACTTATTTTACTGAAGACAGCATACTTCATTACCTATGTGGCTTTCCTTTTGTCACAACTTTAAGGAAGTTTTGGCAAGGGGACAGATCCATTTGGGGAGAAATGGCTCTGTGACATCCCTAGATGTCTCTAACAAGGTAACTCTATCCTTTAGCTTGGACATTGCACTTGCTTTATTGAAGGAGGTATATTTCTGTGGAAGCCAGTGTGGTGTAGTGATTTGAGCATTGGTCTGAAATTCTGGAGATCAGGGTTCAATTCCCTGCTTGGCCATGGAAGCCCACTGGGTCACCTTAGGTGAGTCACACATCCTCAGCCTCTGAACGTCATGTGGTACATGTACACATCATTTTTTCACAATTTTGATAAAGTTGGCATCTCCTTATGGGCCTGGTCCAGCTCAGGAATAGTGGAACCTACCTGCCAAGTGGGTTTCCATCAATTGGTAGGTGGGTTATCCAAAATATTTTTCTCCTTTGAGCAATGTTTCCATCTCACTGCTTTTTGCATAACAGTCAGGTGATGTGTGTTCATGCTAAGCCAAGCCTATTTATAAAGTTATGGCCTTTATGTTCCAACAAAGTCTTTATCTGTGTCATTTCACTGCTGCAATGTGCAACATTCACAAATGTACTAGGGTCCCAATATATTATCTTTCTCTCTGGTCACTTGCTTCTAAAAAGGAGCTCTATACTTTAACAAAACTGGCGCCAGGACAAACTTGATCTCAATGTCTTCTCTGTGTCTCTCACTGTGTTGTGAGCTGACCTTTTCAAGAAAGTTTTTATTTTCTATTTTCAGTTTTGTTCATTTATAAAATAATGCAACCATGTTCCTGTTTCCTGTCCTCTCAAAGAAACATTAAGAACCCCTTCGATATTCCAAATGACAACAGTATAATATTAAAATATGTAGTTTTCACTGTCTGTTCCATCAATTATTCTTATTGAGGGCATTTTCCAGAAAGAGAAACAACATCCAAAGGAAATTAATGACACCACTGTTGCTATATAATTGCATTCCTGGAAATGCAGTCGGTATTCATGGAGATGCCACAAGCTTCAACAATTCACAAAATTGCTCTCAGAATTGTTGTGGTTGACTGTAAATAAATTATAGATGATTATGAGTGAAAAGATGGAAATCTATTTTGCTGTTGTTATAAAACCAATTTGTGGAGTTGCAGGGTCTCCAGATACCATCTTTGTTAATTAATTTTTTTTAAAAAAATGCCTAGAAACATATCATAACAAGAATTTTCCCATGCTGTGACTTCCTACAGGGATTTTCAACTTTTTATTGAATCATCTGCCCTGTTAATGGCTTCTGCTCTGTAAATGGCTTCTGCTCTGTAAACAAATGTGGGAGAGGGTAAAACAAAACTAGACTGGTGTTAATTGCAGAAATGCAAAATGTTAAAGTTGCTCCCAGACCTGAGTCAACTTGAGACTTGGCTTGAAAGTATCTTGCAAGGACCTGAGGTTTGACTTCAGACTTGAAGGTATTGACTTGAAACTTGGAGCAAACTACTTGAATACATCACTGTTAACTGCCATGGCAGCATCCTATGGAATCCTGGGGTAGTGTAGCACAACCATATTGGGGTAATGTAAAACTACACGAGTGTAGATTTACCTGTATTTCCTGGCGTATAAGACGACTGGACATATAAGACGACCCCCCAACTTTTCTAGTCAAAATATAGGGTTTGGGATATACTCACCGTATAAGACAACCCCTTTTCCAACAGGGGAAAATGAGAAAGTGTTGGGGGGAAGGACTGCCAATA